GTGTCTGTTACAACCAGACTTTGCTTGGCATCTATGTGGTTGTCAATTTCCTTTAGAATTCTCCACATATTGACTATGGCATCTTCCTTGGATGGCTTAGTAAAAGAGCCTGCCTTGCTCTCCAGAACAAGAATTTGTTTGTCTTTTGGAAGAACAACAAGAAGAAACCAATGCTTGCTCTTGCCAGGATTACAAGGAACCAGAACAGTATCCTATTCAGTAAAGGAGCTTTTCCTTTCAATAACTCTTGTACTGTACCCTTGCTAAACCCCTCTTCAAATGACTCCCACCCCAAAACTTCTACCTATTTGATGGTTTGCTCTGCTTTTCCCTTTCCTCCTCAAGGGATGATCTGACACAGATGATCTAATTCAGGAAATTAAAAGCTCTGATTGTACCCTCATCCAGTAATTGTCAAGTGTTACATAATGGCTGGGAATACTCGAAGTGATATACATAAAAGAATGCCAAAAGTGGAACCATGGCATGTTCAAGCAAATCTTTGTCTACAGATATGTTGCAGTACTTTGGGTCTCCAACCATGACAGTGTAGGCCGCATGGCAGTCACCATCTTCTCTTGAATGAACCTGGGGATAAGGATCATATGGAATGGGAGATTTGGTGGGATTTCCTACATGAGATAAAGAAATATATGCAAAAAAAAAAGAAAAATTATCAGTAAGGACATTAATCATACAAATTAATCATATATACTTCCTGAAACTGAATATATTTACAGGTATGCCAGTTGCATGCAAATTAGTTTTTTGAATGTGATTGTGTAATACATAAACATAGATGGAGATCACAATCACAGCAAGAGAGTTAATGTATCTTACAGGTGCTCATGGTTAGACGTAGTGCTCTTGCTGAAGGGCTGGGCACCCCAGCTGATTTCATTATTGGATGACTTTGCATAGGCTCCACTTGATTCTTTTAAGGGTAGAACATTGTATATATATCTTATAATGTAGTTTTTACGGCCTTATTGTGTCCCCACTTCATCAAAAGATTACAGCAAAGACACCTTCATTCTTGCATTCCTTCTTCTTGTACACATTTGTTACAAGTATTTGTGGCAAGGTCTTTAACAGCACAGCACCTGAGGGAGAAAAGGGCATATAAACACGATTAACTATCCCTGTCCCATTAATTTCAAAGAGACTGGGCTGAGCCCATGGTCGATCATGGTTGATGGTTGGATCAGACATTGACAAACCTGTAAACATAAAAGGAAATAATTGAACAGAAAAAAAAAACATTTTTATGACTGAGTAGGCTAGACAGTCCAGTTACCTGTGTGTACCAGTTTTATGATCGCTGCTAAATATTGTGAAACAGTAAAAGAAGGTGCATGAATGTGGGCATTGTAGCTGTTGTTAACACTGAAGTGGTAAATAGACCATGTGTTTGAAGTTCATTATTTTAATACCAGGTGAAAACTGTAACAATTATGAAATACACCAAATGGACCTAACATAATTAAATGATCACTTGACAAAACTAAATGAGATGACGATAAATTGGAACTATGCATGACCTTAGATGTTTGTACAGATATCACAGTCTTCCATCAACAGCACTACACACAAAATTCATGTTTCACACAACTGATCAACAAAGGAAAGGCTACACTAAAACATGTAATCAACATAAAATCATACCTCTTTTCCTTCTAGCATAAGAACAGAACACTTGTCATTTTAATTGTTTTGGAAAGGCACCATTAAGCAATGTCATGGCGAACGTAATAGTGAATACCCCTAAAGCTAAATGTAACATGGGTCCCCTAAATTGTGGTAACAATTAACGATAACAAAATGTTAGAAAATCTAATCAGTCATTATTTGTTCATCACTTACAGTGTGGTGTCTAAGCTGAAAGGGCATCATGTATTTCTTTAATGTTGTGGCTCCTCAGTGGGGACTGCCTCGTCTGCAACTTGATTGCTGGAAAGTAACAGGATTACTTTCTAAATGGCCATTCAAGATAGAGGATAGGTTACGTGGGTCTGCCTGAATCATCAAGGGAATCTGTAGCAATTGCAACTCTTACTTTCCTGATGAGGCTGTTGTCATTGGGCATCGTTCATTGACAAAAGCAAGCTTCCAACAGTTTCATGGCAAACTTGTGATATCATCCACTGGAATGATATAATCACAGTATTTTTAACAAGTGAGTAGTCAAGGTCACACTACGCACTTTTGCCCGAGAGAATATTGATTTGCCTATGGAAAATTTACCTGAGTTAACTCAAGGTAAATTTATCTCGGGTTTCATTTTCCCCAGGTGAAAAGGTCACAGTGAAGAAAATCACATCTAGGTATTTACAAGGGATTGACATGATTAAATTTCATGCCGCATAAACATATTTTTGGCACGCAAATCGAAAACAACATGTTAGATAATCACGCAGATCAAAGAGAAATGGTTCTCTTTTCATTACTTTTTTTATGGTGTTGCAATGAGCAAGGCAATCACGAGTGATTTTTCTTCAGCGACTGATTGCTTGACGAGCCCAAAGAAGGCGACAAGCTGCGTTAATCTGTGTATTTACTGCTTTTGCTTTGCAGGAATGTTGCCCTCGGCGTATCGTGTGGGTTCTTCCAAGACCTCAGTACTGGTTCGCAAACTTGCTCAATTCAAATGCTTTGAACATGTGGTGGAAAGAAAACTTTTGGGTTACAAGGGAAACATTCCATTTTATTTGCACAGCTGTTGCTCCTGTTATCCAGATAGAAGATACAATACTTTGAGCGGCCATACCAGTTGAAACTAGAACAGTGATAGGCTTATGGAGGTTAGCTACTGCGGACAGTTATTGTTCTTGTGGTCTTATGTTTGGAATTGCCAAGTCTACTGCTATTGGAGTTTTCAAGGACTTTATTCAAGCACTCTGTCAGCTTAAAGACCAATTTATTAAATTTCCAACCTGTCCTGCCCAAGTGAGGGAAAAAATACAAGGTTTTAGAGAAAAGTCAACTTTTCCCAATGTTGTCGGCATGATGGATGGAATGCATATACCGATAAGAGCTCCAAAGAAAAATTGTGAAGATTACTTTAATCATAAACACTATTACAGTTTCATTGTTCAAGGGATTGTTGATGCCTCTGGTGCCTATTTGTCTCTATCAACAGGCTTTCCTGGTAGCCTGCATGACGTGCGAGTATTGTGACTAAGTAATTTTTTCTCACTAGCAGAAGAGAAGAGAATCTTAACCATGCCGTGCATGGATATAAATGGAACACAGATTCGACCCCTCATTTTAGGTGACTCTGTTTACCCACTCAAGAGGGAATGTCCACTAAGACCGAGCCATATCGCAAATATGTGGCACAAGATGGAAAATCGAAAATTTTCAGATTTCGCCCAGAGATGGTAAGGATAGAAACGTGGTGTTTCTTTTTCTTGAAATAGTTTTTAAACCCGGCAAAAAATCAAAAATTCGTTTCAGTCCCACGTCTGGTCAAAAACACGCAAAATTTATCTCTGGGATTCCCCTCGTGAATTGCGATAGCAACGCATTTTAGCCTTCAATTAAATTTGCGCTCTAACGAGCTTATCTTTTAGAGATTTGCCTCTCTTATATGATATAATCGGAGGTTTAGTATAGATGCTTTTCCGTAAGCATCATTTTGTTTGTCCTTCGCCATGTGTTCTTCGGTGTGCGTTGGAGGTCAGTAAGAAGGTGTTTTTTTGGGGCTGTGTGATCAACATCCTTGTCACCAGATGTACTTGGTCTGAGATATAGCAGTAAATCATTGTCTGACATCATAGTTGCTTCAGCAGGACCGCTCGATTTCGATTCTCCATGAATCTCTTCAGCTGCTGTTTGAGGTGTGACAACTTTAAATTTAATGTTGCTCAGGGAAAGGTAGAGAAGTTTCTCAATTCCGTTCTCTCTCGAATAGTTGTTTGGTGATCTTTTTATACCAGGATAGTGTGTGGTTAGGATTGAAGTTGTAGCTTTCCTATTGGTCCTCCCCGTAGCGAGAGGGCCTATAAAAATATTTCTCAGTTCCTTTAAAGCAGCGAGAGTGTAATCTTTGGTGCCTCTTTTCGGCTTCCATTTCAAACTTCATCAGTTCCTGTATTGCCAAGTGATCTCACTCATCTGCTGTCACCATCATTTCTTGTTGACCCTGCAGCAATTCAATCAGACTTTCTCGTTTGTCAGTTTTCTTTTGCTTACCCATTTTTCTTCGATTTGGACCAGCTTCTTCTTGTTTCTTCCCTGCTTTGTGCTTTCCTGCTTTTTTCAGCAGACCTTCTGGGGTTTTCGCTTGCGTGGCTTTGTCATCGTCCACTTCTTCGCATTCTTCTCCATCATAATTGGAACTTCTTGCACTTGTTGATGTTGAGGTTGACTCTCCTGTTGAGGAATCCTTGTCCGGACTATCAGTGCAAATATCAGTTTTGCACATGTATCTCGGGCTAATCTTGTCCCGGCACCCTAAAAGGGAGTCAAGCTCTTTGAAGAATTCAAAAGACTCGCGCCATCTTCCGGTGGCTTTGTTGTTATCTTTGATCTTCTTGTACTTTTCAACAAGACTCTTCCACTTCTCCTTTAGCTGCGTCAATGTTTTCACACTTTCGATTGCATTATCATGGTAGCTATCTCTGAATGCTTGTAAGATAGTTTGCCATATTGCCCTTTTTCTCTGAGGGCTTTTAGCTTGAGTGAGTGCCTCGGCATGCTCCTGGTAGGACAAAATTAATGTTCTTGTTTCAATTGAAGACCAGCAATTGCGACCAGCGTTGCTTGATTGTGAAGTGGAAAGAATTTTCCTTGATGGTGATTGAACTACGCTCAACATTGAAGGAATTTCACTAACTAGTGGGACGGCGCTTGGTAGTGTTAAATGAAGTGATGTTTGTGGGTTGAATTGATTTGGTAGGAACAGTGTACTTGGCCCTGGATTCTGTTGATGTATTCGATTGAAAAGAAATCCATTATATATGGGGTCCTGTTCGTCTCCACGAGCATACTGGCTTCTGAAATGAAATATTATAAGCCGATTAATAAAAGCTATAGCAAACAACGAAACTAAATCTTGAGTAAATTCAGCCAAATGAAAGGTGTAGTGATTGCAAATGATTTATACTTGCACATTCGATCTAAACCACGTCATCTTCTTTTGACACACCAACACTCACGTGACAAAAGCAGCAAAAGACTTGCATTTCGATCTTTTCCAAGTAAAACATGACATGATAAAATCAAATCTGTCATCAGCGCATTTGCCGATGAGCATCTATTGGCTAACTACCTTTGGGATTTCAGTTTACCCCTTCAAAACATGTAGGGTAACTGTCAAGGGAAAGTCTATTGTTCTCTTGAAATATTCAAACCTCGATGGAAAATATTTTCCCTAGGTAATTTACCTGGGGAAAAATCGGTCACACTTCTAAATGTAAGTGTCCCTACGTAAAACTGTCAACAAGTCAAGTTTACCTAGGGCAAAAGTGCACAGTGTGACCACAGCTAGTATAGACAGGAATTTATTACACAATTACCATATGTATGTGGAGAAGATACTTTTCTCACAACCTCCTCTCTAAGTGTGAATTAGAAAAAGCTATGTGGTAACACTTTTTACCTTCCTTGGATAACTGGGTATCCCTCTGAACATTCTCATTAAAGTGCAGGCTTGTAAGGATGTGCCTACATGAAAAAAGAGGAAAAAGAAATAAATTATAGGATTGTCAAATAGCAATTGCATTGGATCACATAAAAAAATTAAGAAACGGATCAAAACTGCAAAATATGGATATAGCTTTGTTCATGAGTCCAGTTAGCTCTGCTGTGCTGCTGTGGCTTAGATGACCATGCATATTGGAGATATAATGATACCAATCTTTAGAAAGTTCCCAACCAAGAGAACCCAATCATCTTTTGACACCAGTGGTTTAAAGTGGCATGAAAGACCTCTAGACAACTGGTATGGGCATCTGAAAGCTTTCTAATGTGTCTCCTAAGAGAAGTTTGGCAGTGAGCAAGCTCTTCAGTTTGTCATTTGCAGTAGTGCCTGCAAAACAAAACAAGTTGAATCATTGCCAAGAATGTAAGTACCTGTTCATTAATATATAATATTTTTGCGATAATAACACACACATTGCTAGTAATGCTTAGTCAGTTACAATAATTGTAATTGTGTCAACATAAATTATTGAAAAATATAGAATCAACTCTCTCGTAAGCGGACACCATTGGGAATTGGAAAAAGTGTCCGTTAGTAGTGCTGTCTGCTTACAAGAATTATTCCCGTAAGTGGAGCCCCAAGAAAAATATGGCAGTTGTCCACTTATGGGAGAGTTAAATTACCAGGTGTTAATTACATGTTTTATTGGGTAGCTTAAAATAGCAACTGATACTCCTTATTAATGTCAAGTGTTAAAACTCAAAAAAAAGAAATATACGCCTTATTCCAAAATGGGGATGTCTGAAATGATCTGGGTCGAGTTGCATGAAAACAAGGCATCGAGGGCCACGGTCAAACACAACAGCATGGCGTCCTTTCGAGACAACCTTGTGTCTGGTTTGCATTTTTGACAGGATGATATTCCTGGTAGTTCATTGAATGGAAGAGTTCCGAATCGGTTGAAGAATTCCAAATTGAAGTTTTGGTTTAAAGGGAAACTAAGGTCTAGAAACATTTTACCTTAAATGAAAGTTCATACCATGAAATATCTGATAATAGCAATGATTTGCTCTGTCATCAACTTTGTAGCAAATAATCGGGACAACAAAATCCTCATTTTGCTCCAGCTGGCTGCCATTTTGTTTCCACCTAATGAAGGTGAGGCTATGACGTCACGTTAGTCAAGCTGTAGAAGATGGTGGCAGAAGGGGTCCCTGTAGCATTCCAAAGCGTTTCTTAATGTAAAGCACTGTGTTAACGATGACTGCAAAAAATCACTTTTGGGTGACATTTGTACAAATGGGATGAGAAAGTTTTAAATCTGACAGATGACAGATGACTGAAGGGTAGACTTTTTCGCCTTCTTTTCGTTTCTCCTTAGATTCCATTACCTGCAAAATGTCCCTAACCAGGAGAAGCAGACCATCTTTGGGTGGGAGTGGTCAAGGGCTGAATGGAAAGTCTGAGCATCTGGTGACAACTGTTTAATGTCATTTACAAGTCTGCACTTGTCAGAAGCTTGTATAGTTTATTGTATGTAGTGGTTCCTTACAAGAAAAGAAAAAGCATCACCATCAGTTGAAAATTCATGTCTGAGTTTTCAATGTCCTTTTTTTTTAGGTTGTTCTTTGGTGTGCACTGTTGGTATAGAGGATTGATTGATTTTTTAACATGTCTAATAACAGTGCCTATCCTGATGTACCATTGGTTGTCAATCTCCTCATTTGCACACTTCTTGAAAAGTGAAGACGGATGATTGTCATGTTTGTTGGCAACATGCTCCATAAAAGATTTCCATTTGGCTGTCATCATCTCCTGGAAGCCCTCCTTGGTGGATGTGGCACACCAGTAGAGATGGTTGCATACTTTGTTTACCCAGTCAGCTATTTTCTCACAGCAATTCCCTTTGCCCAGGTGCAGCATTGTCTTTGATCTACCCATGTGCCAGATTTATTTATTACAATTTAATGGCAATTAAAATCTAAGTCTAAAGGCATACACAAACAAGCGAAGCCATAAGGATAATCTGTAAAAGAGTGGAACACTCCATGCAAGACAGATCACCATGTAGCTAATCTAAATAAGTAATCATGTAATAACAATCAAGAAAAAAAAAATTAAATCAAATATTCATTTCTCACTTAAAAACTTCTTCATTCCCGACTTAAACACTGCACAACTAGGAGATAACCTAACATCTAAGGGTATCGAATTCCACATCTCCATAATTCTATTAAAATAAGTGTTTTTAAAAGTAGTCGTTCTAGCAAAATTTGTCTTCAAGGAGTAGTCATCAGCCGTTTTTGTAAAACAAAACGGCAAATTATACAGGAAAAAAAATGTAGCATATAGAAAAATACAAATAATGACATTTTCTTATTTGAATTATATATTTATGTAGAAAATAATAATAATAATAATAATAAATAGTATTTTTATAGTGCCTATCCAAGCATGATCTAGGCGCTTTACAAGTTGTAAAATATGATCAAAATAGAATAACATACATGTATTATTATATTACAACAGAATAATATAATAATACATGTAACCATACTGGTTACTTTCATAATAATTTATCGAGTTAATTCAGAATTCAGAAGACGTCATTAATAGTCAACGTGATACCTTTGTTTTGCATCAGGACTTTCCAGCAAAATCTCATGCCACATTGAAACAAATCCAAGATAAAATCCAACCTGAGAGGAACAGTATACTGGTAAGCAAACTCCCAAGGAGCTTGCGATACGAACTTAGGCATACGTGAATTTTTCACTAGATACGATGAAAAAAAATGCAATGTAAAATGTAAATCTTATTTATAGTGGTCATGCATTTAGCTATACAAGCACTAAGCTTAGCTAGTTTACAGGCATGGCACTGGAAGAAACGAAACAAATTAATATTTCAAATAAACGAAACATGGTTAAAAAATAATTCCACTTTTCCTTTCTTCTTCTATGTCTATGAATTTACTCTTAATGAGCACCCACGTATTTCATTAGCCTTGTCCAAAACCCGAACTGAAAGCAAGTTCAGTAGCAACTAACCTCGCCACCAACTTCACAGCCTTTCATCAAACCCAAGTGACGTCCCTCTTGCAGACCCTTCAATTTTCCATCCTTGTAACCTTCCTTATAACCACTCTCATAACATCTGAAACAAAAAAAATACTGCTCATCTCTGTTTTAATTAAAAAGCATCGTAAAGGTGGAAGAGTACCTTTCCTCCAGGAAAACAGCAGCATCAAATGCATCATCAATCTCGTCTCTGTACGCCATGTTTGCTTTCTCCTTACCCAGACGGCATTGCGGGTGAGTTGCCATCTTAAAATCTGAAATCGGAATGGACTCTGGAAAACTGGAAAGAATGCGAGGACTCCTGCGCGGATCACGCCTGGCGGCAACTATGTTATTAAAGAACTTCATAGAAAAGGCGCAAAATTTATGAAGAACCTAAAGACTTCTAAGAAAAGGAAACAAACTTCAGCCATTTTTATAAATGAATATTTCACATTCGTAACTCCAACCCATCCAAAGGCGCTCACGACTAATTTCCAATGCGCCCTGACGAAGGGCTAACGCTCAAAACCTCACCGTCACTATCTCGCTACGGTGGTTCCTTCAACTTAATAAACAGCTTTGTGTCCAACCATCTAGCTAGTTTACTGATCTCACAAGATTTTAACCTGTGCTTCACTGGTATCTGATAGATTTACAAGTGAATAATGCAAAAGCGAACAAAAACTAATTAGCAAGATGTATAAACACAATTCAAAATTACTACATCACTTTGAAGCTGCTATAGGTGCATATAGAAGGTGCAGAAAAAAATATGAAACCATCCTTGGAGACCCAGGGGCAGTTAGGGAGGAAATAAATCGAGCAAAAATTGAAGCGTCGAAGGTTTCAAGTAAGGCGGGAAAGTTTTTCTCGCCTTACTTGTAAACTTTGGACGCTTCAATTTTTGCCCGATTTACTTTCTTCCCCCGCAACTAACTGCCCCTGGGTCTCCGAGGATGATATGAAACCATGTTACTCAAAAAGATATAATTTAGAAAAGTATATCTTGAAAACACTCAGGACCCATTTAGGTCAACCAAGAGACTGTTGCAAAGAAAATGAACTGCAAAATACTACCACCCCTTTTCCTGAATTTTCTCTCCTGATTCCTGATAGGCAAGTCTCTTGATCAATGACACAGCATCATTGCTTGCATAATAAAGTATGTATGTGACCATGTGCTGCACAAGCTAGTCGAGTATTGTCTTGATATCTTTAAGGTGGTCTGTAATGCTTGGTTCGAAAATAAAGACAATTTTTCATTCCCATGCAGCGTTTGTGATTGAATTCTTTGGAATCAGCAGGGTTATTTTTAATGAGGAACTGGGAGACAAAGAAGTTTTTGTAGTGGCAGACAAATGACGCCTTCGCGAAAGTCGCACGGCCTTTCAAAGATCTTTGCTTGAAAATTCTATCTTGGTGGTCGATGTTATTGTTCAGTCATCAAAGACAAGGAGATTTAAAAATTGCAAAACTAGATGAATTACGTGGCTTGAAAACCGCTTACAACTGTTATTTTAGCTGTATTGTTTGTTGGCAGCAAATAAGTTACCCTCTTGCAAGCATGCTTTGTACATTTACTTTTCAATTTTACGAAATCCAAGATATGTTTAATATTACCTATGCAACCAGCTGAATTAAGCCAGAACCAGACGATGACTTTTTTAATTATGTCTTTTCATTTTCAATAAAATCCTGTGTTGTATTCTCGTTAATTATTTACTCTTAACTCGAAGGTACATAGAATTATTAAATGAGCTCTCTTACAAACTGTCTAAGATGCTATAATTATTTTATAAAACATGAATTTAAAACGTAGATTCAAAGAAGGTTCAGGATCTTTTAAATTATCAAAACAAATCAGAACATCATCATGTTCAAAATATTATCGTTTCAGCAATGCTCAACTATGAAACGGTTGGTAAATGTTTCTTAGAGAATCCGTTGGCGAGTGAAAATTTGACTTGCAAGGCAGTGATCTCCACAGCCATGAAAATTATTTCCTTTGAACGTTACTGAAGAAGATATGGCCGGGAGACATGGTATGAATATTTAATACGTGCTGGTTCTTCGAAGAATTATTCAAATTTCAAACGTAAGCAGAATTGTTCACCAAGAATATTCCCACCCGGAAAGGCAAGTCTGAGATTTCTCCGTTTTTGAGTTTATCAAGCAACAGGCTGGCATGGCAACGTTCGGATGATCATCCTATTTGTGACTGGACAGAAGGACTCGGACATTGGTCGGCTTGTTGTCGACATTTTCCGAAAATAGCGCTCGCTTATCGCAAAACGGAAAACAAGTCGCAATAACAGTACGCACCGTCTTGAGGAATCAACAGGTGAAAAGCAAAATAAAACGCATTGGCCGTTGTTGGGATATCTAATGAAGGAAATAATAATATAAAAAACTCCTGGTCGAATGTTAAATTGTACCCTATTCAAACGGAAGTGGGGATAATGCAGCTTTTACGATAGAAATAAATTATAGGTCTCTAGAACAGAACAGCCGGTTTATTAGTAATAAATAAAAAATCGTCCTCCACGTGAAAAATTTCCTCTTTTTTTTCCAGAGAAGTGACCAAAGATCCAAGGGATGATGTATCCAATGACAACGCGATATCAATATTTAATATGTAATCTATTCCCTAATTTATGCAAATAAGACGGCTTGTGTCGTTCGAAGTTTCTGATTGGCTCGCGACCAAAATAAGTACAAAGCTGTGGCGTTCAGCTGTTCGCCTGTCGCTTTTCTTTGTGCGTGAATATCCGGTGAATGGAGGAGATAAAAACTCCAGGAAAAGACGAGCCATAGCGGCTGAAACAGTCATTATAGTGATTTTAAAACAACTTACAATCTAGAGCAGAGGATGTGGTGTTTTATTTCGGAGCCAAACGGCATAATTCATGAAATTTTCCTCCCGAAGAATGCCGTCGGGCAAGAGTGTTTGGACAAGGTGAGGAATTACAAGTTGGCGATTCTCAACATGCAATGAATATTCCCAAGACACCTGTATGCCGATGAATTTTAAGTCAACTTGGTTCACTTTCGAATTACTTGCTTTCGTAGCATTGTTTGGTACTTATTTTATGGTTCTTCAACCCTTGCAGGTTTGCGAAAAGCTAAAGCTAGTCGAGAAAGATTATTTTGGCTTGAAATTCGGTGGCGCGAAACGAGCCAAATTTTGGTTGAATTTGAGAAATTCTATGTCGTCGCAGCTCACTGGAAAGCCGCCGTATCGACTGTATTTCTTGGTCAAATTCTTCGTCAAGCCACAAGAACTTCAGCAAGAAATTACACGGTAAGTGAAACAGGTGAAATTTTGATGTATGTTTTGCGTTTTGTCAATCGTACCTGCCGAGTGAGCCGCTCGGAAATATCCACAGTTCACGCGGATAGTGTTTGTCATAGTCTTTCTTTTATTTAACAGACGTTTCAGTTTCATGTGTACATCTCTCTGT